GTGCAAAAAGTACAATCCCTCAGGTGCCCTTCAATGGGGAAAGCCTGAAGGTTACTTTTTTTTTCCTTTTATACATTGTTAAGTGTGTGTAAGTTGTAAACATTACTACCTGTCCACAGTTTATTTATTTTAGCTCTTGCTTTTAAGAGACCCGATTCTTATAATCCATTATAATGGTCTGCGGGGAGGCACCTTCTCCTTGTTAACGCTTTTTTGACACTCCCATTCAAGAATTAGTGCAAATTTCAGAGAGTAGCAGGGAAGGGAGGAAAGTAAGGCAACAATTACAAACAGCTCGTCTCAGAATTACAACACGAGCCCTTAATGTCTGCATTACCAGAAAGGCAGGAAGTCCCTTTCTTCCACCAGACTGATGGAGAGGTTCTTTAATTCCTTCTCAGAGGACACCAGTTTGTAACCCAGCTGTACCAACACCTGCTCGCATGCATTCTGCACAAATGCCACAATTTCATAGGAGAGGCGGAACCGCCACTTCTCTGCAGTTGCTGCTGAATTTCGGACAGTCCCATACTTGTGTTTGGCTGCAGATCTGTCCCCTCTTGTGTTATTCTGTATCCATCGTTCCACATTGCTGTCCATTGGGATACCAAGGAACTCATATATCTCTTCAGTTTTTTTTAAGGGGTTCCTGGCCAGGTCTTCATATCTCACCAGCATATATTTGCCCTTGAGCCAGGGAGGCCGGCTCAGTCCAGTGGAAACAGAGTTCAAAAAGTCCTCACAGACAGTGGTGAGCTGTGACACTTCCAGGTTATACGGTTTCCTACCTGTTCCATCCCAGATCCGCCAAAGTCTGTAAGTGTCTCTGAATGTCTCTGTCCTTGAAGCCAGGATCCCCCTAGGGTCTCTCACCAGTTGTATAATCTTCAGGTTGAGCCTGGGATCATCCACCAGACCTCGGAGATCATTGACCTCGGGCACCCGCACTGTTTTGATAGCAACATGCCCATGATCTTTGCATGACTCAGTGGCCAGAGTCAGGTTCAAAGTGCCACATTTTTTCACACAGTCCCCTTCTTCCAGGGGAATATCAATGGGTGTCAAGGTCTCACAAACTGGAGGGGAGCACAGAGCTTTGCTGGCTCCCCTTCGGAAAAGCCTGTCCGTGGTGTGGTTCACTGGCTGAGGTTTGATATAATTTTCCAAGAAATAAAGATCACACTCATAAAGACTCCTCAGCAAATCTCTGCCAGCCCCCAGCATGATCCGTCGATCCGCGAAGACCTTGGCCTGTGTTAGCTTTGGGAACAAGGTGATCTGGACATGGTAGAGAGGCTCAAATAAATAGAAGACATCGAAGTGCTGATTAAAGAGCTGCCCAACAAAAGAAGAACCACTTCTGGTAGTGGCCAGGATCAGAACATGCGTCTTCTTGGAAATGTTATAAGGGAGGGTGGGGCTTTCATCACAAAGTCTGTCTGCTGATTCAGTCTCTTGATTCAGGCTGCAGTTCATTGGATTAGGTACAGGGCAGCTGTGGAAGGATTTGGTTGTGAAGGTGCGGATGGCTGTGTACTGGATAGCAATGGAAGCCAAGGCAAGTAGGAGGACAGCCTTCCAAGAACATTGCATGGCTGGTCACCTTCATGAAGATTCTTCTGCACTGGTCCTCTTAGTTATCTGTAACAAAAGAGAGTGAGCTGGTTGAATATAAGATTCCCAGAAGCCTACTTTCTCTTTGAATCTGTTTTAGTAATATTTTCTCTAATATTTTTAATATAATGTTTATTTAATTCTTCTTAAATATCTGAACAACCAATTGTTTTTAGCTTTCCATACTATAATGATGTAAGCCACTTTGGGTCCTTTTTTTAGGAGAAAGGTGGGGTAAATTTAAAACTGAATATGAAAACCACAATATTTGATATTCTACAACCCCAAGACTGTTTGGAATCCATGATGGAAATCAGACAAACTATAGATGAATCTGATACATTTCAAAATGTGCTCCAAGTATGAAATCTGGGATAGTGCAAATATGGGAAGCATATTTAAAGTGGCAGACTTTTAAATCTCTGGGTAAGGAAAAAGGTTTTCTAATTATATATATTTTTTTACTAGATAGTTCACCCATCCTTAAATTAACCAGGTTCTCTGGTAATAAGATGCTTTGTGGCATGTGGCCTTTTGCTCCTTGGACACTAGCCTTTGAGGAACATGCTCCTTCTGAGTGACGCAGACAAGTAGCTCTGGCCTCCAAAAGGCTTTCTCTCCTTTTGTCAAACAAGTGAGAAAAGGGTCATCTTGTCTTTTCTAAGACTGTTCTTTCCTGGAAGAAGAATTTGTTTGGCTTCCCTCCTCACAGAGAATATCTTAATCCCTTCACATGAATTACTGCCTAGTGCATTAAGAGAGATATTTTTAATAAAGCAAGGGGCTTGTGGGGGAGATGGGATATTTTTGACAAAACAAGAAATGCCCAATAATGTAGTGATGAAAAGGTACAGCAGCTGTAGCAGCATGGAAAATATTGCCCTCAAAATAGTGGCTGCCAGAAGAGCTTTCAAAAGGCTTTCTTAGACAACCAAACTCCATCGCTTTTTTGAGGCCTTTTATGTTTCATTTGAAGGGTTCCACAAGTACAAAACTCCACAAGTGATACAATGCTAGGACTGAAAGTTTTCCCTTCCTCTGCTCCATCTCTGGCACTGCCCAGGTTCTTGAATCCCATTAGAATCAGTACTAAAAAGGGCACCAAAATGGCTGTTTCAGTGACTCGACATGCTACAGGGATTCACTATTTCATTTGAGGGACTAGAAAGGCTAACGTAAGTGATGTCCTTGCACAACCCTGTGAGCAGGCCTTGTTTAGTGGGCCAACACAACATAATGCCCCTCTGTAATTCCATGGTCATCCTATGCCCTAAAGAAGCTTCTCCCCTTCCCTCTCTTTCCCAGGCAGATCCCTCTTTCCCCACCAACCCCAAAATGGAAAATAATTAAACAAAAGTGGGAGGGAAGACCGTTTTAAAAGGCAAGATCTGTGAAGAATATAAAATTTGTAAATAATAACAAAAGAGAGGGAGGAACCCTGACATTCATGGTTCCAGAGACAACTCTGTTCTGATTGTGGCAGAGAAGGAAACCTGCAAAAGAGGCCAGAAGATGCAGCCTCTTTGCAAAGTTTTAAGGTATTCTGGATGGCAACAGGCACAAGAACCTTCCTTGTGGGTTCCTCGCAACAGAGAATGATCCAGGTACAGATCATGGGTGGGCAATCTCTACAGGGCTAAGGGCTTTTTTTTAAAAAAGGTTCGATGGCAGCCCAAGGGCCACACTCTCAAGGGGACAAGGCTAAAGAAGATGATTAGCATACATATATCTTTATGCTAAGATTGCTACAATTGTTTTTTGTTAACAGAAGAACTGGTTTAAATAAAAAAAGGGGGGGAGATTAATCGGAAAAGCCCCTTTGCACCTTCTAGTGACCCAGTTAAAAATTAAAACAAAATCTGAAGATGTAACTGCTTGCACAAGAAACTGCTTGCACCTCAAAACATGTAAAATCACCCTGTGTCTTCTAGAGAGCACAATATAGGTTTTCCCAATTTAAAAAAAAAAAATCCAAAAATTCCACATTGATAAATAATTCCTTTGGGGATCATGAACAGAAAGAGATCAAGAAAGTATCAAGGGAGAGGTGAACAACAGGTATTTGACTGCCTGAAACCTAACACTGCTGTCCAAATACACATGAATGGAATATCTACTGGCCAAACCCATATCCTAAAAGTTTCCTGGGGTAACTTTTCACTGCTATAGCAGGACTTTCTTGGAATTACTAATAAATCCACTGTTACATTGGTTGTAACTAGAGATGGGCATATTCATATACGAATATGACTATCCCTGCGAACCTGGACCTTACAAGGGTCCAGCCTCCAGGACCAGATCATCCACTCAAACATCTTGCTGTGGCACTGGTCCTGCTTGTCCTTCCAATGGTGCCCGGAGCTCCTCTCTCTCTTCCCACTCGGCCGGCCACGCAGCAGCCTGGAGAGGCCAGCTGAGTAGGAAGAGAGAGGAGCTCTGGCACCACTGGAAGAATGAATGGGACTGGCACCGCAACAAGACATGTGAGTGGATGGTCTGGTCCCAGGGGTCAGACCTTTGTTAGGTCCAGCTGTATACTAATACTGTATTTGTATACTGTTTGCATACAAATATCCCCGTCTCTAATTGTAACCTTCCTGGCTTTATGTTCAACAATTAAAAAACCTTGAATTTTATGTTCAAAAATAAATAAAAATCTTGCATGCAACAGCTTGGGCTCATCAGTACACATGTATGGGTTTTTCTCCATCTGTTTTTGTCCTCAAAGTACAATGTATGCACTGCTAAAGAATGGACTGCTAGATGTACCCAGGTGCCTTCTACTGTGCTTTTCACTGCTATCTTTGTGTGTCCTTCTCCAGGTAGTTAGCTATATGCTTCAGCAGCCTGTAAGAAACACCAGTTTCCTGGTCCTGGAAGGCTCCATGCTAAATAAGGACCTCACACGAAATGTTGCTCATTTCTTATGTGCAGCAAAACAGTATCATCCATTGTTGTACAGTGGTACCTCGACTTACAACTGTCTTGATTTGCAACCAATTCGAGTTACAATCATCTTAACCGCTTTTGCATTAGTCCCTGTTTTTAGTCGCTGCTGGAATGGGGTTTTGTTTTTTGTTGTAGACTCCAAACTCTCCCTTTCTTTCCTCTTTCCCCCATTGTTCCCTCCCTCCTTTCCTGCCCTTTTTTAAACCTTTCAAAATGGTCGGAACGGATTAATCACGTTTCAATTTATTCCTATGGGAAATGGTGCTTTCAGTTACAACCAACTTGAGTTACAACCATCATCCCAGAACGAATTAAGTTTACAACTCAAGGCACCACTATATTGTATTTTGTCCTACTTTACTTCCAAAGTGTTTAAGCCAACATACATGTTCATCTCCATATTTTATGCTTAGAACACCCTAAGGTCAGTCTGCTTTAAAGTCTGGATCCTTCCTGTGGCAATGAAATCTGATCATAAGAACAGCAGCTGTAGTCAGTGATACAGTATCTGTCATAGAATCATAGAAACATGCAGCTGGAACTGGCCTATGAGGCCATCAAGTCCAACCCCCTGCTCAATGCAGAAATACAATTCAAAGGATATCTTCCAGGTGGTTGTCTAAATTTCTTTTGAATGCCTCCAGTGTTGGAGCACACCTCTCAAAGTAACTGGTTCCATTGCTATACTACTCTAACAGTTAGGATGTTTTTCCTGATATTGATCCAAAATCTGGCTTCCTGTAACTTCAGCCCATTGTGGCATATCCTGCACTCTGGGTTGATCAAGAAGAGAACCTGCCACAAGTGTTCTGCCCTATGATCCATCCAGATCAAATAACACATGATGCAAAACATGTCACCTGAATTTGCATAATATTTTGCTTTAAGCATAAATACCACTAGGGACAGATCAGGATTGTAGTTGAGACAGAGGAGGTTTAATCCAATTTTTTTCTCTTGTGCACAATTGTCCTGATGATAGTTGCAAAGCTGGGACCACCTGCAGTACGCCTGACAATTATCATTATAGAATAATAGAAATGTAGAGCTTTAAGGGATTCTCAAGGATCATTATGTCCAACTTCCTGCCAAAGCACGAAATCCACAGCTAAAACATCCCTTATAGGTGGCCATTTAACCTGTTTAAAAATGTCCGATGAAGGACAGTCCAGCACCCTCTGAGGTAGTCCATTTCACAGTTGAACAAGCCTTTACTGTCAAGAAGTTATTCCTAATGTTTAAGCGAAATCTCTTTTCTCATAATTTTGAATCCATTACTTCAGGTCCTACGATCTGGAGATGCAAAAAATAATCTTGCCTCTTCTTCTATGTGAAAGCCTTTCAAATATTTGAAGATGGTTCTCCTACTGCCTCTCAGTCTTCTCTCTTCCAGGCTAAACATAACAAGCTCTCTCAACCATTCTTCATAGGACTTGGTTT